GTCTCCAAGGCTCTCTGGTCCATTCTGTTTTCAGGTCTAAGAGAAATACCCTTCCACTAAGTAAATGGCCCAATCAGGAAGACCACCCTGACTGAAATTCCTGTCTCCTAGGAGGAGCTCATCTATATAGTATCAAAGATAGGTAACATTTTTTAGTTCTTACTAGGTAGGTGCCAGGCATTATGCTAGAGTACTTTAATAATTTGCTAACACTTTGGCTTACTGTGTGCTTGGCATGGTTGTAAGCATTTTATGTGTATGCACTAATATAATTCACACAAGCCTATGAAGGAGGGGCCGGCATTCCCATTTTGTAGGTAAGAAAACAGAGGTGCAGAGGATAAGTGATGTGCTCGTTCGTATTCCATAGCTAGTGATTAACAGAAGACCTGACTCCAGAACTGTTCTGTTTCTAGGCTAGATAGCGTCTCAGACTTCACAAATCATTTTTTCATTTAGTCCTGATAACAAAAATGGGAGATGGGTTTTCTTTAGAGATCTTAAATAATGTGTCTAAGGTCGCATAGCTGGTTAGTGGCAGTACTGGACTTTTAACCAGAGCTGCCCAACTCTAGAACCTGAACTCTTAACCATTGTTTTAATTCCTCAGAGCGTCTCAAACTGTGCCCACAGGTGTTCCAGCAACTCAGCCTAGGTTCTTGGCCACTCCAGTGGTTTAACAACATTTTTGCTTAATTTTCAGAGATTGGATTTTTCTCAGTTTTAAGCATTTCTTATAATTTTTCACTGGCATCTGCTATAGCAAGTACTAGCAAATGATAGAATGAGAAGTAATGCACAGATAGTTTATATGACCAGGAAAGAACTCAAAAATATGAGCTAGTCTCATGGGTGTCACTTTTTTTTTTTAAAGCAGGATATACATGTCTTTTTATGCCAATAAAATCATAATGACCTTAAATATACCATTTTATAGTGTTTCACATAAAAGCAACAGGACTCTGAATCTAAGCAGTTTGAAAGCCATACATAATCATATCCGAAAATTTAAAAACCTATGTGGTATAAAACAAACCTAATTAAAGCCTATGGCACTTCTCTAATAGTGATGCCTTCACTGCAGGGAACTTGCAGGGTGGGGCCCTGAGTTGCTGGGGAGGAATGCTCCCACAGCTTGGAGGAGTAGAAGGAGGATTGCCTCTTTTTCTGACCCAGGCCTGCCTACCGGGGAGGTGGGGCCTGTGAAAGCCAGGTCTGAACCAGAGATCATCCTTCACAGAGGCCAAGGCCAGTACAAATACTGCACACAGAGGTTAACAGTGGTCTCTTATCTTTCATATGGTCCTGGGCTCAAGCATTCTTATTTAATTTATATCTGGAGATGCTGAATTAGGGCTAGGGCCAGGGAAAGAACTATCTTCCTCAGTTCCACGTGGAGAGTATATGGCTATGATTTCTGGATTGAGAACTCTGAAAACCCCTGGAGTTTAACTTTCCTCTTCCTCTTCATGGTAATTTTCCATACAGGCAGGGTGTGGTCCTGACTCAGTTTGTGGTGAGGATGTGGCCTTCCATAGGGGAGGAGCCTTCTGCTTGGTTCTGCCTTTCATTCTGGCCAGTGGGGAGAGGGAGGAAAGAGTCTGGTGCTGAGTCATAACTGGGTTACTTAACAACTTCTCATAGGATGGGTTCTGACATGGAGGTTTGGGAGACATCTCAGCTTCTGGGCACCAATTTGAGAGTGTTGGGGAGGAAGCCTCATGGGTCACACAGTTTCCCCCAGAGCGCCCCTCCCCAGAGGGTTGAAATAAAAGTCAGCTCCAATTCATTTGAAGGGGCATCATTCTCTCTGGAGTATAGAACTTTCCACAGAGCTTTCAGAATCCTCCCTAACCCTCCGCACTGCAGTGGAGCCAATGATGCCATCCTTTAAGTTAAAGCATTTCCTACAAAAATATTTTATCTAGGAGAGAGACCAAAGTCTCCTTAGTGGGTCAGGTTATCTAGTAGCTGGTGAGCATGGAGATGAAGACTGTAGGTATGGTGCCAAGGAAAAAGTTTGACTGAATTGCAGCAGGAGGAATTCCTGGGGAAGGGTCACTTAATCCATCCTTCACCGATGCCTTTCTTGGGGTCTGCTTACAATCCCACTTGCATCTTAGCCAGTCTAGCTGTGGCTCTATTTGTAGGGAAAAAAGAGCACAGGGCCTCCATGGGATTGGCATGGTAGATAGGATTAAAGTACTTTAGGGAGACTTTGTCCTGTGAGCCCTAACAGTTAAGAGCTAGAGAAAGACTTGCAGTGGCTCACATAGGTTGACAGGGTTGCTTTGGCTGAGGCAGTACTTCCACTGGAATGAACAAGGACTCCTCAAGCTTCCCTCCTGCTTCTAAGTGCTAATGAGGCATTTCCTCAGAAGGGACCTAGACACAATTGCATTCAGAAAACATTCTTTACCTTTCCTATGTCCTGGAATGGCCTTTCCATACCCATCTCTATCCTAACCAACCTTCCATGTCTCTTCCTACATGAAGCCTTCCCCTTCCCAGACAGCTTGTTCTCTCATTATTCCTAAATTGAAAAGCCCAGCTTTCTCTTCCAGGATTTTTCTGTGGAGGAGCTCTGGAATTAAGATTTTGTGCCACCATGGTGAGCCTGAAGAGCTCTTGGGAGTCTGAAGGAAAGCACAGAATAAATTACGTCTACTTGTCTGGCTCTGGAAAGGGCATAGAAAGTCCAAAGTGATAAGCACTTCTGCTTTAAATCTGGCATTCAGAGCCAGTGGACTGCCCTGGAAATCTGTATTGGCCTGCAAGAGAAATAACACTGCCATTTCAGAGGCCCAGAGGTCATGTAATGATAAGGCCTGTAAAGCTCATCCTCTTCACCAGGACCAAAGCTCAGTCTTTGGATCCCAGGGATTTCGCTCTAATACCATTTGCTGACACACTTATCCCATCAGGGACTCCAAATGACTTTCAAGAATTAGATCATTTAGTGCCAGATTCTGTGGTTCTGTGGCCATGAATCCAAACAGGTAACACAGCAATCTATACCCTAACTCTTACCCAGTCCGGTGAATCTAGCAGCTTCCCCTCCCATCCGGGCAGGTCAGAGCAAAGCTGATGGACTGGCTGTAGGGGAGGAGCCTCCTGGGGGGTGGTTTGTATTCTGCCTCAGCTTCCCCCCAGGTTCAGGTAGCCTTGGGGTCACTTGTTGCTGGGTCAAAGGAGTGAAGATTCAGGATGACCGAGAGAGGGCAAACAGTTACTTGAATTCAGAAGAATGTTCTGGCACTGGTCAAGAGGACCATCCTCCACAAAGTCATCTCCCAAAAAAGGGGAAGCCAGCTTGGCATCGTACAGTACTCATTCACATACATCATCTGATCAAATCCCATTCTGTGAAGCAGGAATTGTCTTCAATTTACTTTTAAGAAACTGGTCAGAGAGCTAGTGAGTAGAATTGGAACTAAGATGGAATCCAAACTTTCTGGTGTATTAAGCTGCTTTTCAGCAAAACAATGACAGTCACCTTAAACTCCATGTAACAGATTTTCACTGTGCATCTAAATGTGAGCAAGGATATGCTGGATTAGTCTCTGCTAGAATTTCATGGACAGCATTTTTTATGACTCCAGTTTAATACATGTGCATTTCAATCTTGCGACTATATCTAGACTTAGAACTTAAATGCAACATCATCCAGGACTGGCCAGATCACTGACACCTCCAACCCCCCAGTGTTGTCCACCACTTTTTTTTAGTTCATCTTTAGCTCAGGGCCAACCAATTTCCTATCTACAACTAAGGGGACAAGAAAAAGCTTCCAGAAGAAATGGAAGGATTCTATGGCAAACAGAAACTTACTCTTAGGCTGTCACTTTCCTGTGCTATCTTATCTGAACTAACAGGAAAGAATGAAAGACCTGTGATTCATCTGCAAGGCTGCTGTCTGCATAGCAGGTCACACCCATTGGTCTTCCAGGAAAAAGGAAAGACCCTAAGAGAACAGTCTTAACGATTTTTAATGAGGCAACGTTGTATCTGTTCTCAAAACTTGGCTTAAGGAAGGCAAGAGCTAACAGCTGCTTCATTGATAACTGCTGTAATCACTGGTTGTTTACCAATCACTAGGAATCGGAAAATACTTTGGAGAAAAATAAGAAAAGCTCTATCGATATTGATTTAAATACATAAGGTTGAAAACAAAAGTGCCTATTCCTGCAGATCATCGGTTGTAACGTTCTGACATAAATTTCCTGATAGTTCTGCGCTAATATTAATACCTTCTATATTAATACCTTCTATTCACTTTCTACTCTAAGGCATGCTCTGCAGGATTCCAACCCCAACTAAAGTATACACCAGGCCCCAACTTGTCCTTCCTTGTTCTAGCCCTAAGAATAAAAAGACCTCGCGCTCCCGCTCCATGCACACTCCGCCCTCCATAATTCTCCCCTCGCTCCAATGCTGGAGCCCTTCTGAAGGCGACCTTCAACCATCGCACGAGTCTCCATCTCTCCCTACCTTCTGATCCCAACTCGGGCTCCCTAACTTCCTGTGCGACCTAATTTCCGAGGTGTGTGCCGGGGCGGGCACCCGAAGGGATGAGGAGTCGCGGGACGGGGTTGGGGGAATGCCGCCGGAGATCCATAAATCTGGGCACTGCCCGGTTAGGTCAGGACAGCTGGGGCTTCCTGGGCCGAGGGTCAATAGAAGAGGCCTCATCCATCACTCCTAGGTTGGCAGCAACAGGTGGTGGCCCCGGCGCCTGCGGGACTGGGAGGGAGGTCTCCGGGGCTCCCGGGGCGGGCCTTGCCGCCTAGCCACTTCCCCATTGGCCCGCGCAGAGCATCAAAGCTGCGATTTTTATGTAATGTGTCCTTCCGCTACGGAATATAGTCCTCCCCAAAAGGGCAACCTGAGAGCGCGTTGCGCTCCACGGCACTTCCTCCTGAAGGTGACTGCGCCCAGCGAGGACGCGGAGGGGCGGGGCCCGGCGAGCCCGGAGCCAGGATTGGGTGCGGGGCGGGGCGGCGGAGGGATTGCGGCGGCCGCAGCCGGGATAACCTTGGGGCTCCGCGACCGATTCTCGCACAGCGGAGGGGCGTCGCGAGCTTCTACTTCGGTGCACGGTGGCAGTGCAGCTCGAGCGGGACCGCGCCGGAGGTGAGCGGGGCAGAGGCCGGGCCATCCGTCCCCACCTGGGCTCCGTACGCCCAGCCAGTGCGGAACCCCGGCCGCCTGCGCACTCAGGACACCCACACCCGGTGCGGCGCAGGCTGCCGGGCATCTTGCACCCGGTTGAGGTCGGGAGAGAGGAGAAAGGCAGCTCGCGCCTAGGGCCTGCTCTTCAGAGCCCCCAGACTCCCAGCTCCTGTTTCTTCCAAAGCCGGCCCTCTCCTGCCGCAGTGCTTACCCCCATTCCCGCCCCATCCCCGACTCCTTCTCCTCGATCTGCTTCCATCATCGCCTTCCTTTCAGTATTCCCTCCTCATCGGGTCCTTCATCTCCTCCCTCCACCCCGCCACTCCTCTGTTCGCCTCCTTCCGTGGCCCGTTCAACTATACCATTCCCCCTCCCCGTCTTCACCCTGGCCATGACCCCCTCATTCTGATGCTTTCCTTGTAAACTCTCCTCGAAATCCGGTCCTCAGGTCCTTTCCCCCGTGCCGCCTGCATTCAGCGTCGTGTGCTCTTCCCGCGCCCTTGTCCCCCTCATGCCTACCCCTTCCCCCATTCATGCTCTGCTTCTGCCCCTCCTCCCTCCATTCTGGTCACGTCCGCTCCTCCGCATCCCTCTCCTCCGCTCTCTGATTCGTTCCGCCCGGGTCTTCGCCCCTCCCCTCCGTCCTGGTCATGTCCGCCTGCACCCCCCGCCTCCCGGGTCTCTGAAGCATGTGGGTCCCGGAGCCCTGGGCCCGCATCCCGCGTTCATCGCCCGAATCGCAGTGGTGTGCGGATGGGCAGGGCCGGTTCCCGTGCGGCCGAGGGATGTAGTGGCGGCCCCGGGCGCAGCTGGAAGATTACGTAACCCTCGGCCTTCCCGCTGCACGGAGGAAAGGGGGGTTGTCTCTGTGGCGCATTCCTGCTTGAGGCCTCCCCGGATTCGCTGCGCTGGCCCCAAAGGGGTCGCGGGGCTCCCTCCAGGCGCGGCGGGCCTGCATGTCCCGGCCCGGGACCCGCCCTGCCCCGCCCTCCGGAGGATCAGTGCAGCCTCACCTCCCTGAACATAGGCTCCGGGATCGCAGACCACTGAGGTCTCGGGTGGGTGGGAGCAGGTTATAGGCAGAATTATGTCCAGAACTTGGCGCCACGCGCCGCGTTCACTCCATAAAATCTCTGTGTGCTAAGCTGTTTTGGGGAGAGGGCTTGGCTAGAAAAGTCACAGCCCGCAACATTCAACAATGTCATTAGAGAACTAACATAAAAGTTACCAGTGGTAGGTGCTTCGAGGCAGGGACCGCTTCCTGTTGGGTGAGGGAAGGAAGGTGGTGGAGAAAGGCCACACAAAGTGGCATCACACAGTGGGTTTGAAGCAGAAGAGTACCTTCCAATGTGAAAGTTGTTTAGAAGGCCAGTCATGGAAAGGCATTCCTTGGCTTTTTATCCGTGTTCTTCAAACCCAGACATTGATCCTCTCCTGTACATGTGAGTCTGATAGCTAAGGTCAAGGCATGATGGTCAGAAGCATTGGGAAGTGAACAACAGGCTTTTAGAATCGGGTTTGACTCATTAACATACAGGAATGGTGGAGGGAATGCCCCCCAGGACCTCCGTTTCCCATGTGTGAACTGGGAGTAACATTTTCTTCCGGATTGTTAAAAGGATTGGTTACTATACACTTAGCTACAAGTATATATGTTGAAAACTCTCTGCACTGCACTGCCGAATCTCTAGTGAGATATCCAGAAGAAATGGCTCCTGGTGTGTTCTTTGGTCACTGAGCACAATTACTTGAACTGTAATGGAGCATGAGGGCTTATCTTCTCCATGCCATCCCCAGACACACTCAAGAGTTAATTTTGGGATTAACTATTCAGTCAGGTTTCTAAATACCAGACATCTCCTGGTAACCAGTCCCTTAAGGGATCCTGGTAGAGTGTTTACAGAGTCACTGATGATGTTGCCTTGCAGCTCTCCGCTTGCTACAGAGGCACTTTGGTCTCCTGAGCATCAGGGCCCTTAGACAAAGAGGGGCAGAATGCCAGCAGTTGGGTGTTGGGCTGTGAGAGTAGAAACAAACTTGCAACTCCCAGACTCAGATCTGTAAACGCTGTCCCCACCTGCTCCAGGTGGAGTTTAAGGATTTGCTTAGCCAGGTGATAAGTGTGAGGTTAGGATTGGAGGCAGGGACCGGTAGTGTCCTGTTGGCAGGACTGAGGGTGTGGCCACTCCCTGGGCTACAGAGGATACCCTAGGTGAGGACTGCTGCTCTGTGGCATTGTTAGCAAATAATTTACTCTCCTGTTGCCCAAAGAGGCTGTTGGGAAATGCAGTGGGGAAGGTATCCTGAGGGGAAGGGTATGTAACCCATCACTAGGTGGGGGCAAGGGGGGGGGCGCCTCTGAGAGGAAGATGACTCAGCCTTTCGACTTACCTGCTTTTGAGAGAATTCTCTTCATTGGGTGAGTGGGAAACTGCACTGTGGTCTTCACAGGTTTAAAAAGTCCCTTCTCTCCATTCAGTGAGTCAAATAGTGAAGCATGCATTTTCCCCAAGTTAAAAATGGTTTCAGTTAAGTGAAAATCGTTGTCGAGGTGCCCCAGCTCTTTCTGCTGTCCTGAGCTTAGATGCAGTGTGGCAGAACCCCGTGCCCAGGCCATGTAGTCCACGCACCTGCATTCCTGAGGCTTGTGTTGGGGGGAGGGGGCTTTGGGGGGAGTCTGTCATGGTCGTGACTAACAGTGACTGAAAAAACTTTAAACTCCTTTTTGAGTTATTGGACTTGAGTCAAAATAAGTGGACATGAGTCTCTCTTCCTGCCTTGGTATAGCTGCTCCCATTTTAAGCACTGCATTAGGAGTAAATAATTTTAGTGTTAAATTCATCGCTTAACAAAAAGCATTATCGGATCTCTAATAATTTGCCAGTGACTTGGCAGATTTGGTAGCTGGGACTCCCAAACAGCTAGCACCTCGTGGGAGTTGCTTCTGTGCCTTGCATGTTTCAAGGGGGGGTGGTTCACAGGAAAAGCCATTTTATTTCTTAAAGCTGCGTGTTTCTTAATGTTGAGGCAGAAGAAATGAGGAAATGCCTTACGAGCTAGAAAGTACAAAAAACGCAGCTCTTGCATTATCAACTCACACTACCCTGGTTCTAATTTACTTTGCTTCAGCTTGTATGAAGGCATGTCAGGATGTGTTATTTTGGCCAAGAGCTAAGACTGAGCTCAAGGTAGGGGGGAAAATGACTCATTTGACATTTTATTTCTGAATCATTCCAAACGTCCACAGTCAAATCTCCGTTAGCTGGCACACTGCAAGGGTGAGTCGCCCATGTGAGGATGTTGAGAGATACAGAAACGATTTCCTTGATAAGAGATCTTAGAGGAGGGGTGCCTGGCTGGCTCATTCGGTAAAGCATGCAACTGTTGATTGGGGTTGTGAGTTTGAGCCCCATGGAGATTACTTTAAAAAAGAAAATAAGTTTCTAAAAAGTCCTCTAGGACCATGAGTCATCACTTTAAACCTCAATTCTGGGACAGCTAGGAATAGAGCTCAAGGAAGACTGTTCTTAATATTAGCACACTTTCTGGGGACTTGGATTTTTCACCAAGAGCCAGCCTTAGACTAGATAAATGAATAGTGTGATTGTTTGGGGCTTTTGTTAAAGGGGCTGTTGAGCCGGGGTGTGGAGGGGATGGTGGTGTGCAACATCTGGTGGGCCTTTCAGCCTTCTGCCAGGAGAGCCCCGGAGGGGATTTTGGCGGGGCGCCCCGCCCCTGCAGTGGTTTGTGCCACTCTGCACGTAGGAGGGTGAGCCGGGCTGCAGTTCCTCCTGCGGCCTCTGAGACAGACCTCCCCGACTTCTGTCCATAGGCAAAGCTCCTGGGGAGCTCTAAGCCTCTTTTTCCTGACGCTAGCAAGCTATGTTTGGAACATTAGGCAGGAGCCCTGATGGGGGGACATGCCAAGACCAGCTATGATGGTGCCAGCTTAGCTGATCCAGTCTGAAAAGTCTCTGGAAAGGAGCCTGTTCCTTCCAAGCCTTTGAAATCAACCTACAGCTAGTATTTATTGAACTTTAGACAATGGGTGTCTTCCATGTTTGCAGCGATGAGTACAAAAGGGTTACCCAGTCATGGTATAGTAGACAAAACCATGGACAGTTTGCAGTAGCCCTGGGAGTTTTGATGTAGTTAGAGGTAGGGAAGTAGAGACTTGATAATCTGGTATCCCTCTTTTGTTACTACACTAGAAAGCAGATGACTAAATACCGCCTATCAGGAGGGTGAACATTTTAAAGCTCTGACAATATTGAATGTTGGCAGAGGTGTGAGAAGGCCAGAACTGGTCCTGGTTGATTGTAATTGGATAGAACCACTTTAGAGAGCAATTTGACGATATTTAGTAAAATAGAAAATAAACATACATGTGACTCAGGAATTCCATTACTGGATATATATAGAAGCTCACACTTGCATAAGGAGCCATGTGCTAGGAGAGTTTTTACTGTGTTGATTCATAAGGGAAAAATTGGCTTAATGGGGGGCAGATGGCCAACCAGTAAGGGAACACATAAATAAATGATGTGGTTGTGGGGCGCCTGGGTGGCTCAGTGGGTTAAGCCTCTGCCTTCGGCTCAGGTCATGATCTCAGGATCCTGGGATGCATCTGGCTCTCTGCTCAGCAGGGAGCCTGCTTCCCTTCCTCTCTCTCTGCCTGCCTCTCTGCCTACTTGTGATCTCTGTCTGTCAAATAAGTAAATAAAATCTTAAAAAAAAAAAATGATGTGGTTGTGCAGTGGGCCAGGATAGCAGTGCACACGAGTTAACTAGGACTGTGTACCCCCTGGAGGGGTCTCAAGTGTGCTGAAGAAAGCAAGAGGTTTATTTGTACAGTATTCTACTTAGGGCATTTTATTTTATTTTATTTTTACTTAGGGCATTTTAGAAAAACAATATTCTAGGGGTCAGTATAGATATAGATAACTTAGATTAGAAGGATA